AATTTAGTTGTAATAGGTACACGTCTACGTATAGGTACGAATAAAGTACCTTCTTTCTTTATTAGTTATAAACTACTATATTTTTTATTCTACTATACTTATATATATATATATATATATATATATATATATATATATATTATTGAATATGTTGAAGTTCAAAACTCTCTACATGTTTATGTCTACTAACCAAAAAGCATAAAAAACAACAACATGTATTTGAAGAAGAAGGGTGGAAATTTAAATCCTATCCAAAAGAACATCGTGAATTACGTCTCATTAACAGCTACACTACGTTAAACCTTTATTTCAAATATGCTGTTGAACCAACAATCAGGCTGTACTATTTTTTTCAAATAAATTGCTTACTCAATACTCAGGCTATACTAACCCTTTCCGAATACGTTGTTGAATCAACAGTCAAGCCATGCAAACCTTTTTAAAAATATATTATTGAATCAGTAGTCAGGACATGTTAAATTTGTTTGTAATATGTTGGTGAGTCAACACCTAGGTTATGGTACACTTTTTTAATATGTTGTTGAGTCAACAGTTAGGCTATTCTAAATATTTTATTGAATGTATTATCAACTATGCTAAGAACTTTCTTTAAATATGTTGTCAAATTAATAATAAGGCAACTGAAACAGCAATCAGAATATGTCAAACTTGTTTATAATATGTTGTTGAGTTAACAGTCAGATTAAGCTGAACATTCTTGAATACACTGTTGAATGAACAATCAGAATATGCTAAACTTTCCTTGAATATTTTGTCAAGTTAACAACCGAGATATATTATGCTGCGCTTGAATGAGGTGTAGGGTTAACAATCAGGCTGTTAAGCTATGATGGAATTGTTTTTGGGTTAACAATCAGGCTGTTAAGCTATGTTTGAATATGTTTCGAGTTGAAATTCAATATACTTTAAATTGCATTTGAATATGCTATAAAATTAAAAATCAGAGTATGTTAAAGTGCGTTTTAATATATTGTCAAATTACCAAATATTATTTAAATAAGATTTTAAGATAACGGTTAAGCTTTATTAAGTTCAAAAGTTGTATACTTTACATCACTGAAAGTTAGAAAAACAATAGCACTGTAAAATTTAAAGTAATTTCACAAAATTCTATTCAAACGACACATGAAATTTAATAAAATAATTAATCGTATAAAGAAAATTTTAAAATTACCTTCTATGAGTAGTGTATTTTCCAGAAATGTGACCAACTCCTTGACACCCTGGTGTTGGGCATTGAATTAGTTCTTTTCCTTCACGCCTTCGGGGTGGCACCGTTTTTGCTATTTTGTGTGGTGGAGGTCCACTTTTGGAATAGAAAAGAAAAAACGTAATACTACTTCGTTTACATATCACTATTTTATAAGTATTATACACTCACACAGTAACTAAATAGACACCCACTACAGAAAGAATACAACTTTATTAAATACATAATCATGAAACAAAAGATGAAATATTACCGTTAGCAATTAATGGATCTGCCTGTGCAGTATTTAAGGCTGAAACAATGTTGTGCATCCTGCTTAGAAGAATTGAAATGCTGACCTGTGAGACTGCACATCACTCCTGACAAAGAACTGGGATGAAGGTATCCCTAAATTTTTGTTGCCTGGGTCAATGACTGACCACAAATTCTCGAGAGCATTCACATCCATTGGTTGACCCAACCGTTGTTAGGCTTCCCACATCATAACAGAAATACCACCATATTATGTCATTGCTGTCAATTGGTTCAACGAAAGTTCTTGGGAGGATAGTCGCTAAGCCTAGGTACGTCCACGCACTGAGAATTTTGCAAATTTGGACTTGTTCGTAAAACAGTAAGTGTCTCAAAAGGCATGAAGGTGTGATAGCATTTGTGATGCCCAACCGCTGTCGAAGTAAGATATTGGTTGAATTAGTGAATGGCTTCTGTCTGGCTACTCTGTCATTGTGGTCCATGTATGAAATATTAGTTTTTTCTATTGATTCATAAGTGTTTTTTTTTTCTCAGTAATACAAACATTCCAGATATCGAGATACTGAATATAGAAAGTTTTAATTTATTTTTGCTATTGTTACGTCGCTCTTTCATCAAATGATATTAAATCAAATCTGACATTTCATCGCTAAAATCTGGGATTCGATCCCTATGATGGACAAAGCGAAGGTAAATCATTATGTAGATTTGCGCTATAACAAAACAAACAAATCGAAGGCCAAACTTTCAAAAAAAAACATTCAATTTTAATTTCAATGCTACTACGTTGAGAAATAACGTGTACTACTGAAAAAAACCTAGGGTAGTTACTATATAATTACTGCTTAACACCCACATCAAAAATATTTAAAAAATGCTATGTGAAAAAAACTGTATTGCCACATGAATTACAACATGAAATTATAAGAGATAAAAGCCAAGCGCCCCCTAGTGGCACAGCGCTATGTCTGCGGACTTACAACGCTAGTAACCGGGTTTCGTTACCCGTGGTGGGCAGAGCACAGATAGCCCATTGTGTAGCCTTGTGCTTAACATCAAACCGCAGAGCTAAGCAGTTTGTTATTATATAAGAAATGCTGTAGATTTTAAGGGCTCCAATGAAGATATATAATTTTCCATGTTAAAAGATTATGGATTTAAAAATTATATTTATGTGTTAGTATAACGAATTTGTGGTGAAACATACTTGAATTGACAGAACCAATATAAATTTCATGCATAAAATCAGTAAAATAGTATGCTGGATTCATGATGACCGGTTAGGCGTAGCCTAGTTGTTAGTGTGCCGGAATGTGAATCAGATGGTTAGTGGCTCTCATCCCGTTGAAGCAAAATAGCATAAAAAATGACGGTGAAAGCTCTTAAAGGAAATAAATGGCTTTGATAAGGAAACTGAAATAAATAAAATTGTTTCACTTCAATAAACTCTGAGTTTTTCCATCATAAATGTTTAACTCAGTTATACCATCAAATTTTTACTGTTATCACATTCAACTATTTCAAGTAAGGTTAAATTCTCATAGTTGTTTTTTTAATTAGGTAATTTCTTAGGTGTAGGAAGCTGAACATTAATGTAAATATGCGAAAGCGTTTATGAAAATAATTAATTAGACAATAGCTACAAATTTTAGCAGTTTTGTATTAAGTTTTATTCCTGCTTTGATTATTTTAAGATTTTAAAAATATACGTATATATGCCAACATTTTGATCACCATATTTGTTTGTTTGTTTTTGAATTTCGCGCAAAGCTACACGAGGGCTATCTGCGCTAGCCGTCCCTAATTTAGCAGTGTAAGACTAGAGGGAAGGCAGCTAGTCATCACTAACTCTTGGGCTACTCTTTTGCCAACGAATAGTGGGATTGAACGTCAAATTATAACGCCCCCACGGCTGAAAGGGCGAGCATGTTTCGTGTGACGGGGATTCGAACCCGCGACCCTCAGATTGCGAGTCGAGCGCCCTAACCACCTGGCCATGCCGGGCCCTTGATCATCATAATCAAATTTTATTCATCGACAAGTCATCCGTAGTTTATATCTCGCAAAAACTTTAACAAACCCATATAATTGTATTTAATAACAGACTTTTTTTTTCGTATTTATGAACCAAATTGTGTGTGTGTGTTTTTTTAAACGTAACGGAAATGCTATTATGAAATGTTCAATAAACAACGTACTTTTTTTCTAACAAAAATATCTGAGTTTGTACTTACAGTTTATGATCTAACAAATAAGGTTCGAGAGCTCTCTGGCGATCCTTATGTTGATTATTTCCACATATAGAACGTTCAGTTGAAGGATTAGGTGAAGTTGGAAGCGATCTTGATGAGGTTCCAGCAGGATTCGAGTACAAAGTTCCACTAGAAAGCGTATCGAATCTACTAGCGGGAGATGTTGGTAGAGAACGAGCAGAGAAAGCAACAGGAGATGATGAATAAAAACTGGAAAGGGATGGCGAGTTGTAGTGTGACTGGTTGGTTGGATGCATCGATAAGGCTTCTGGGGATATCAAGGGAGCAGAGTTCCATGTTTCCATAGTTACATCAGACGTTGGTCCATCGTAAGAGCTGAGATAATTTGGAAGCCTACTGGGAATGTTTCTGCAGTCATCCAAGACGTCTCCGGTCCTGACGCGTTCAGGAGTACCAGTAGTGAAAGTGTATTTTGAGGCCAAGCCCTCACAGGACATAGACAGTTGGTTCTCACTGGAGCACTGTGTCTCCCTAACATTATTTGACATGTATGAGAAACGTGAATACTCGGTTATAGCAGAAGGGCTTTTGGAAAGGGATAGTGGGGAATAGTTTTCAGAAGCTGAGCAAGGTGTAGACATCACTGATAAGTTATTTGAGTGGCAGTGGTTGGCTGAAGAGAACGTCTGGGAGGATGGTGGGTTTGAAAGAGAGAGACCTGTCGTCATGACATTTGGTTCAGCATCCGTTCTTCTGCTGAAATCTACAGGCTCTGTTTGTTCAGGAGCTTGTTGATAACAAGGGCGTGAGAAATTGTTTGCAAACGATGTCCTCCTAGAAGTCTGAGCAGAACTGTGGAGAATGAAAATTGGGTTATAAGTATTTGTACGTTAATTTAAAATACGTCAGTAAGAGGTGTAATACAAACTGATGGTTGGTTCAGTGACAATTACTGACCTTTCTATATTATAACGTCGAGAGGGTAGCTTAAGTATGAAGAAAATGGGCATAACTCTATACGAGGATGAATGCTCATATTGTGAGTTTCATAATACTCACGTTTTCGGATTGTCTATGTACCGTTTACTACAGTAAAGTCCACATTACAATATTTTGAGTAGTTTTATGTTTTTGTCTATTATAGTACTTGTTGTAAAAAACTGGACAAATATAATTTTTGGGTGAAATTATTAATTTTCTATATGAAATACAAAAGTAATTACAGCAGAAATTAGTTGGATTGATTGCAATGTTGACTGTGTTTTCATATTTCAATGTGATTCATATGTTATTAGCAACATTATGGACCCACAGGCAATTTGGTGGATAAATAGTTTTAAAAACATTCAAGAAAGCCAATGTATTGACCTCACAGCTACTTCTAGAGTCAATTAATGGACGGTCTAAGGAGGGGACTTTTAATGTTTTCCATGGTAACCAAACAACTCGCACAGACAGCAACAGGTGCCCAAGCCAACTTGAAACAATGCCAACACCCGCAAAGTTAAGGCTGTGGCTTCTAAGGAGAACATTCAGACCCAAAATCCATTGCAATGAAAAGGAGCACATCTCCTGGTAACATTAAATGAACTAATAAACAAGGAATTAAATTTTCAAAAAAAGCTCCTAGACCAAAGGTTTACTAGCTTCAAGTGATACCTCGAATTAATATCTCTTATCATGAGAAAGATGGCGGAGAAAAATTCGAATCATAGCAATCCCATTTAGCCATATACTTATCAAATTTTTTGGTTCAATTCCAATCAATTTTGATTCTTACATAATCTTAGAAGCCGACGTTCGAGTACTATGAAGGGTCTAAGATTTAAGATTAATTTCGCCATCTTCCGCAGAATCTTGTTAAAATGCAAACTGTGGTATCGAACAACATAATCGTAAGCAATCAGATTCAACAAAAAAAAAAAATGGAGGATGGAGAAAGTATTTCCAAGGGCAGCACAAAACGTTGTTTTTACAAAGTGCAACTAACCCTCGGATGACGATAGTTCGCAAAAATAACTGAACATGGATTATCGGCACCCATCCAAAATTTAGAACTGATAGGCAAGATGGTAGGTAATTAGTCAACAACATTGCCCACTGTCAACTTCTGAGCTATTCTAATCGAATAATGGAACTTAACCGTCGCTTTTATAAAGCACCCACGTCTCAAATATGCTGAACGCGTTTTTGCGGGACCTTAACTATGGACTCTCAGATTCACAGTACAGCACGCTAACCACTAGCCCAAGCCTGGCCAACTCTTGAGGGATACAAAAGTTTCAAAAATTTAATGATGAAGGTCATGCTAAGAAGTAGATAAATAAGTTAAAAACACTTTATTTGATGAGAATCCTTTAAAGAAATATAAGGTAAAAGAAGCTTTATATGAAAAGACTTCCTTATCAAAATAAACACAGAGTTAAAAATATAATTTATGTGATGAGGGTTCCATATAGAAATAGAAACAAAGTTAAGAATAGATTTTATGTGATAAGGGTTCCTTATAGAAGCAAACAGAGAATTAAAAATAGATCTTATATGATGGGGGTTCCTTATAGAAATACAAATAGTTTAAAAACTTTATACGATGGGGATTATTCTGGGAAATTGAAAATTAGGGTTAGAGAAACCGTATTTTACGAATGTTCCTTAGACGAATAAAATCAGAAGTTAAAATATAATATTTATATGACGAGAATTTTTAGTTCAAGAGAAAAGAAACAAAAGGAGGCTTTATATAATGACGAAGTTGCGTAGCAGGTAGAAACAGGGATTGCAAAAAAAAAAGGTTCGAGAAGTGTAACGACAAAATTGAACCTCCCCCTAAAAAACAATCAAGATATAGTAAAATTTAATTACATTTTAAAATGCCTAGACTTTAATAGACATTTTTTTATCGGATAATATATATACATGTGTATCAAGTATATTATGGAAGCTCTTTCGATATTTTGTTGCCCTAGGCAAGATTTTAACGTTTCACCCGCGGAACCCCTGCACCATTATCATCAGTATATGTGTGTATAAAATTACACAATCAACCTTTTTCTTTATCATGCTTATCTGTCCTTACTTTGAATTGTTTCGATATAGAATACTTTGATTTTCTTTTGCTTTCTTTTTTTTTCTTTTGGCTGCAAATATTTGAAATAAGTCTTTAAAATATAATTTTTTGAATTTAGTTGAAACTTGTTTTGTATTTAAGTTGATTATTTAAGTGTCTATAAACACAGTTTCCAGGTCAGTAATAGAGGACAAAGGCTGTAGAGCTAACGCAGAGCTTTGTTTATATTTAAATTAAATTTATATAAGTACCTTTATTGATTTTGTTGCCCTTGGCAGTTTCCCACAGCGCATACTTGCTAAAGACGGGACCGTAGACTGTTACAAATAAGGGTTTCGCTGTTCAAATGAGTGAACTTGCCAAGTCTGTATATTATTAAAAATAAGGGTTTCATTGTTCACGTGAGCGAACTTGCCAGTCTGTATATTGTTACAAATAAAGGTTTCATTGTTCAAGTGAGCGAAGTGACATGTTATATTTCGCTCTCACACGAGAAGCTTAGGCCGAATGGTCTGTTTTATACAACAACAACAAACAAACGGACACAAATTGTATGAAACATAGACATTACTAAAATTAAAAATAAAGTACATCGAATAATTTAAATAATGGTTAATGTCAATTCTAATGAATAGATCGAAAAGAAAATCAATCGTAACTCCGCCTTCGATAGGGCCTGACACAAGACTTTGTATTTTATAGTTAGTTTTACCAGGAATTAAAAATCAATCCCTTTAAATTTCAAAATCATGCTTCTCCTACAGCTGAAAATATGATTTGATTTTATCAGATTTTATTTCACTAAATCTTTCATTTCTAATAAACCTCACAGTCAATCAAATCAACAAATAACGTTTATGGCAGAGTGTGAATTTCAAAGAAATTTCAGCCATAAAATAACACCGAGGATAATTTACAGGGTAGAATTTTCCTTCTGGGGTTATTAATGTAAGATATCTTCCCAAACTCTATTTTACTGTTCTTTTTTTATTTAAGCACAAACTTACCCACTGGACTATTTGTGCTGTACCCACCACGGATATTGAAACTCAATATTTAGCGTTATAAGCCCTCAGACTTAGGACTGAGTCACTGGAGGGGAAGGCAACTCCATCTAAGCTGGAGATATTCATTTTAATTAGATCTATTTTCGTGAAAGTTGGTGTAGGTGTTTAATATTTTACGGTCCACCAGTAAATTTTAGAACTCAGAGAAACACCTTAGAAGTTAATGGAAATAGAAATAATTCGTTTTTCTAAGTCATCTAGCTAATTTTATTGTTAATTAGCATAACCAGCTTAAGCTTTAACTTGCGTTGCGACTATCCTTTCATTGTAATGTAACTGTTTAATCCGTTTGTGTTTATTATTATATTTTGATATTATTTTTTTTTCTTTTGAGTGGCAGGGGTACTGGTAATTCATCAAGTTGTGCAAATACTGCCATGGACTGATAAACTTCAAGTTACCTTTGTAAGTCCAGTTGGTGAAGACTTTGAGAACTCTGTGAGAGGTTCATTGCGGGGATAGGATCTCGGACTGACAGGTTGATTGCTCTTTGCACAATCTGCTCAAATTGACACGGAGATCTATACAAAAACCAAAACAAAAACAGGTAGATAACATTTGAAGGTATATTTATTTCCTAAAAAAGCAAAAATAAACATCTGAATATTGTTAATTTCTGAATTTCTCAACACATGTGTTATTTATAAATATTAAAACTTTCATCAAGAAAAGCATCTGATTGTGCACCTGGGAAAAACGTTTTTAAATTACTAAAATAATAAAATAAAAAAAGCAGATAGTAACTCCAGATGAGGTCAATGTAAAAAAGGAAATTGCTTTATATGTTATTAATTACAATGTCATTACTGATGTAATCCAGGGAAATGTCATTAGCTTCCATGATTCTTCACATGCCACTCAGTCGTCTTGAAAATAGGTTTGTTTGTTTGTTTTTGAATTTCGTGCAAAGCTACACGAGGGCTATCTGCGCTAGCCGTCCCTAATTTAGCAGTGTAAGACTAGAGGGAAGGCAGCTAATTATCACCACCCACCGCCAACTCTTGGG